GAGTTGAACCCGCCGGAGGGGGGCCGGAGGGAGCGTACACCGAGGCGGGGGGGAGGGCGTAACCTCCGCTCACTTGCTTGCGGAGAAGACCTTGCTCTTCGTTGGCGAGCGTTGGACCCTTGCGTCTCCGCCACCCCGCCACGACCACAACTAATTAACTTACACGACAGCCGTAAAACAGCTACTAGTGGTAATAAGGATATATACGTGGAAGCTTTCGCGCTCCCGTGGATCCAAGCAGCCGCCCCCGAGGGAGGGAGAGGCATGGACATGCTCGTGGATAAAACGAACATTTTCACAAAAAACACTACAAAATTTTGGTCCCGCTTTCGAGGTGTTGTATCAAGGGAGGACAGAGACCGTCTACAACAAGGGCTCTCCATGTATTCTCGTTCAATCATCACTCCTTCTTCCTTTCTACTTCATTGTTCCGACTGCCAGACTCGGGCTCTTCGTGTCGAACCCCAAGAGGTTGCACCTTTTTTGGCCACGGTAAGGGCTACAGCGGTAGAAGCTAGGCGCGAGTACGACGGCGCGAAGCATGTTGATATCTGAGGGCTCTTGCGGCCGTGTTTTTGCAGGGCAGAGTAGAGGTTTCTGTAGCGGGGGTCCAGTTCGTCGGTGCTGCTATTTTCTGCCCCCACTACCATCCGCTGCCTGTCTGGAGGGACTTCGAGTTTACACCTAAGGGTGCGCAGCACAGGGAACCAGTCGAAGGGGGCCTCGGACGCAGAAAAAAAAAATAGAGAGAGCCTCCCTTTGCTCTCTCCGTATCATGACTGCACTCCTCTCATCATTGAGTACTATGCTATGTCGCCCTGTCACCATGTTATGTAGGGTGCACGTGCCTTGATTCTCAAATTGTTGTGCTGTTCAAGCGTATAAATTGCTTGGCAGCGATCCCACAGCGGCAACACACAATTTTTTGTTCACTTCCCTCAAAAACCTATCTACACCCCGGACCGAAAGCGCATCCTGAAGCACGTACCACACCCACCCATGTGACCCCCCCTCCCTACATCCTTACATAACAGCTGCTGCTATTGCTTGATCCGTCTGACAAGAGAGAGTGGAACGGGCCACCTGAACGGGGTGTAACGTACCCACGTCGTCCACTCTCCCTCTCGTACCCCGCACCCCAAAAGAGCGCGACACAAGTCATCTCTGCCCCATCCCCCACCCCCGACCCTAATTGCTATGTTGCCCGCAGTCTCCCTTCATCTACTTACATCCATGGACGGCTTGCCTGGTTTCCCGCTGCCTGCACTCTTCAAGAACGACCTATTAGTGCAACCATGGAACAACGTTGCACCCATGGTGATACCAACAACATGCATTCGTTCATCAATGCATACATACAGAGCTCTCTTGTCTCTCTGTTTACTCTCTTGCCCCCGTAACCAGACACAACAGCTACGGTGGCAAAGGTTGCGATCACTGGTATACCTCCAAAGAACCGCTGCATTCAACGCAGCAGTATGGGCACACAAAATCAACCGCAACTGTACTTGTATGCAGCCACTTTTTCACCAAGCAGGGCCGGTGCTCATTCAAATTCAATACAATCTCCAAACAGGCGCGGATGCGGCGAGTTGTCGTATCGGGGACAAACACTACAGAGTCGATTCTGCTACCAAGGTGGCACGCACGATGCCCGGCGAACAGAACTGAGCCTATCGAGGGAGGTGGCGTCGCGCTTCAACACGCGCCACATGACTGCCCTCAAGGTAGAAGGGGGCCCCGTGAGATAAATCGGAGAAACCGTCCCCCTCCGAACTCTCTCCACCGCCAATCGACAAATAAATCGACTCCCACCCACCCACTCTCAAAAAGAACTTGCTGCCGCACGCTGCAAATAACTAAATGAATACGCACACGCACCCAAAGCAACCAAATGGAAAGAGCGAACTAATGGCCTTAAAAAGTCTCTGACGTCGCTGTACTATGACTCTCCCCCCCCCCCCCCCCGCCGCCCCGACGGAGTTTTAGCTGGCACGATGCCGCAAGGAATGGTATCCCTGCTCTGCTAGCTTGGCCCGGTCTTGCCACGTGCAAACACAAACCACACGCAACACAATGTAGAGGCGGTCGTCATCTACAAAAGTATCGAGACATGTACTGAAGTATACCATCTTGACGGACGGCAACAACGTTACCCGAACCTCAACAAAACGAAATGATTGTCGGCAGGCAGTCACGACTCATTTTTGACCCTCTGTTTGAAAGGAAAGCTCGATTCGCAGGTCTCCCCCCCCCCCCCCCCCCTAATCAAACCTATTGGTGGAGTCTTCCCTGGAACAATAAATTTCCCCCGAAAAAAAAAAAAAAAAAAAAAACAAAACCACGAGAAGGGCGAACCATGGCAAAAAATGTTTTAAAGGCCTTTTGGCCAGCCCCCGGGGGTTTTTTTATTCCCCGGGGAAAAAACCCCCAAAGAAAGGGGC